CTGCCGGCTGTGCCGGCTAAACACAACCTAGAATACTCGTTTAACCGGCTGCGGATTACCCCTTAGGTATCCGATAATGCCGTTGGTTGGTATGCAGGCGGCCTGTGGCCGGACGTATGCATTTTAACCAATTGCGGATTAAACGACAAGGTTTTGACCTTATGGAAATAGTAGCCAGCTGTACTACTTTTCGGCAAAAGCCGGCTACAGACTAAGATTTATTTCACCGTCTGTATTGCCTTAGGGCAATAACCGAGTGTATCATGATTTCGACAAGGTTTTGACCTTGTTTATGGAAGATGTAGCCGGCTGTAGTACTTTTTGGCAAAAGCCGGCTGCAAACCAAGATTTATTCCACTGTTTGTATTGCCTTGGGGCAATAACCGGGTGTATCTTGATTTCGATAGGTCATTTGAATGGCCATAGGTTATCTTTAACCTAACCGGTTAAAGCCGTTTGAGTATATGACCTGTAGAACAATGTACCACCCGGAAGGGAGATGTTCTCTACGACGAATTCACCCAAATGAGCGTCGCCGGATGCCTGCTCATGTTGGAGCAAACGGTTTAAAACATGTTCGGCCTTTCGCCTTATGGATAGCTAAGTTTGATACTTAGCCTACTACTCAATTTAGAGCAGACGGTTGCCCGATTGTGCATTGCACAAATGGACTTTTACAAAATATGTTGGCCATTGGCCTTTTAAGTAACTAAGTTCGATTCTTAGCCTTCTACTCAATTAGAGCAAACGGGTCCCCGATTGTGCATTGCACAAATGGGACTTGGTAGTTGCCCGGTTGTGCATTGCACAGATGGGACTTATATAGAAGATAATTGAAAATAAAGTACTCTTTCATTAATATACTCTATTTACAAAATATTTACAAGTCCTTAGAAGTAGTACTTTTTCAAGTTATCTACATTCCAGGTTCTGGCTAGCTGCCTGCCGTCTGGGGTTTCTAGGCAGTAGGTACCGCCTCTAACTTCTTCAAAAATCCGGTAAGGGCCCTCCCAATTAGGGGTTAGCTTCCCTTGCTCATTTGCCCTACCGGTTGCCTCCATTTTTCATAGCACAAAGTCCCCCACTTTGAGGGGCCGTTTGTGTACTCTTTTGTTGTAGGCCCTCGTCATTCTCAGACGGTATATCTCATGACGCAAAGCAGCATTACCCCTGCGCTCCGGGAGAGAATCTAACGCTAGACGCATGGCCTCCCAATTTTCCTCTTCATCATAGAGCATGACTCGGAGTGTCAGCTCATAAAGTTCAATTGGCAGGACGACTTTAGTGTCGTATGTCATGAGAAACGGGGTTTCACCGGTTGTCCCTTTTTCAGTTGTTCTGATGGCCCATAGGACATGAGGCAACTCATCTAACCATAGACCGCCAGCGCTTTCAATTTTGTTCTTTATGCCGTCTGAGATGAGCTTGTTGAAGGCTTTAACTTGGCTGTTTACTTGGGGGTGGCCTACGGATGCAAAGCAATGTGAGATCCCTTGATCTCCCAACCAGCTCTTGAGGGTAGGCGTTTCAAACTGAGGGCCATTGTCAAAAACCATAGACATAGGAACCCCAAACCGGGTGATGATGTTTCTCCAGATGAAAGAGATGACATCCTTTGTCTTAATGTCCTTAACCGCCTCTGCCTCAACCCATTTGGTGAAGTAATCTACAGCCACAAATATGCACCTCCGCCCGCCTGTGGCAAGCATATATGGACCTAAGATGTCCATGCCCCATTTTGCAAATGGAACCGGGCTGTAGATAGCCGTCAGGTCTGTTACCGGACGGTGTATGAGCCGGCCAAATCTTTGGCACTTGTCACACTATTTCACCATTTCCATGGCGTCTGCCTCAAGAGTAGGCCAAAAGTAGCCTTGCCGCCCGGCCCTTTTTGCTAGAGTTCTGCCGCCTATATGTGATGCACAAAAGCCCGAGTGCAAATCCTCTAGAACTTCTTTGCCCCTTTCAGGGGTAACACACTTCAGCAACGGCTGGAGGTAACCCTATCTGAAGAGTTCCCCCTTGTAGATTTCGAAGCTCAGAGCTCGCTTCTTCAATGCTGCCGCTTTTGAAGAGGCATCAGGCAGAGTGTCGTCTACCAAGTAATCCCGAATAGGGTCCATCCAGGTAGAGCTTCGGTCAAGAATTCCAATGGGATCATGTTCAATGCTTCTTTTTTCTATGACTTCCCAAAAGACTGACCTAGGCGTATCAGTTTAGACACTGCATCCACCTGAATGTTCTCTGACCTGGGCACCTGACTTAGATGAAATTTGTCAACTGTCCCGGCCTCATCATTAACCGCCTGCAGATACTTGATCATCGCCGGATAGGTGGCCTCATAGTCACCATGGTATTGGCTAACAATCAGTTGAGAATCTGAGCAGGCGTCAACTTTTCATGCCCCTGCCGCCTTACACATGCGTATACCGGCTAGCAGGGCCTCGTACTCCGCCTCATTATTTGAGGCTTGGAACTTGAACCGTAGTGCATATTCATATTTGTCCCCTACTGAAGACTTGCAAATTACGCCTACACCACAGTCGTTCATAGTAGAGCTCCCGTCTACGTATAACTTCCAAACCTGATCAACAATTTTCGGCTGTGCCAGTCTTGTCATTTCAACAATGAAGTCGGCAAATACCTGACCCTTCATTGCCTTTCTAGGTTCGAAGGAGATTTCCAGGCTTTGCATCTCAATAGCCCACTTGAGCATTCTGCCGGATGACTCCAAGGTTGTCAATGGCCGCTTGAGGGGTTGGTCTGTGTAGACCACCACCGGATGTGCCAAGAAGTATGGCTTTAACTTCTTGACTGCCATGAACAGCGCGAGGCCAAATTTTTCAACCAAGGGGTACCGCAGCTCAGCATTTCGGAGAACATGGCTTATGAAATACACCAGGAGCTGTATGACGTCTCTCTCAGCTAGGAGAACGGCACTGAGGGCATGATCTGAGACGGCTAGATACATGTAGAGAACCTTTCCTGCTAGAGGGATGACTAGCCGTGGCAAAGAGTGGAGGTGCTCTTTCAATTTTTGAAATGTCGCCTCAGCATTCTCCCCCCCCCCCATTCGAATCTAGTCTTCTTCTTGATTGCCTGGAAGAAGTAGAGGCACTTGTCACCTGATCGGCTGAGGAATCTCCCTAATGCCGCCAAGCAACCGGTAAGTTTTTGGACTTCCTTGACTGTGCCGGGTGACTTCATGTCAATCACCGCCTGCACTTTTTCCGGATTGGCCTCTATCCCCCTTTGATCGATCAAGAATCCGAGAAACTTCCCAGACTCAACACCAAAGACACACTTTTTGGGATTAAGCATGACCTTATGCTGCCTGAGGGTGGTGATGGTTTCTCGGAGATCAGCAAGGTGATCCGTCTGGAGCTTGGATTTGACTATCATGTCATCAATGTACTCCTCTACATTCCTTCCAATTTGATTAATGAAGACCGTATTAATCATCCGTTGGAAGGTAGCAGGCGCATTCTTCAACCCAAACGACATCACCGTATAACAGAACAACCATTGATCAGTGACGAATGTCGTCTTTTCTTGATCTTTTTTCCACAAGGGTATCTGATGGAAGCCTGAGTAGGCGTCCATGAAGCTCATCAAGGCATGACCGGCTGTAGAGTCGACTAAACTGTCGATCTTTGGAAGGCGATAGCTATCCTTCGGACATGCCTTGTTCAGATCCGTGTAATCAACACCCATCCGTCAGGTCCCATTCGGCTTTTTGACAAGGACGACATTGGCTACCCAATCCGGGTAGTAGCATTGCCGAATGAACCCGGCATCCAGTAGCTTCTTGACCTAGGCGGCTGCCGCCTGAGATCTTTCCTCGCCGTGGTTCCTTTTCTTTTGCCTAACCGGCTTCTTTTTTGGATACACAGCAAGTTTGTGGACAGCAAGATCCGGACTGGCGCCTGGCATCTCTTCCACATCAAAGGCAAAGATGTCTTTGAATTCCTTCAGCAGTTGATGCAAGTCTACACCCAACTTTGCAAAAGAAACCGTCCCCACTTTTACGGTTCTTTCCGGACGGCTGTCGTCTAGAATAATATCAGGGGTCGTTTGGTTCGCATAGGGGAATCGGAATGGAATTCAGAAAGGGAATGCAGGAGAAAGGATAGGAATTCCCCTAATCTGGGCAAGTTGTTTGGTTGTGCCTAGGAAACGGAATGAACTGTTCATTGATTCCCTTTGCTGCTGTTTGGTTCAAACTAGGGAATCAAACCAGGAATTTTAAAATTTCTCTCTATTTTTTCATATAATAACCTGTTTTTAAATAATAAGCACAAAAATAAGAAAAAAAATTATGTTCATGTAATATGGAATAATAGACTTGTAAAATGAAAAAAAAATCACGAGTTCTATTTTTATATTTTCCATAATTACCTGTAACATATAAAAAAATATAGTTTCCATATTTTCCTGTAATATTTCAAAATAAACCTGTTTCATATCATGTTTTTATAAAATAATACCAAAATATTGCTCAGAGACCACGACATTTTTAATCATACCAAAATATTGTTCCGAAACAACAACAAAAGTTTTAAACATACCAAAGTTCATAACACCTAATTCAACACAAACGAGGTAACCACGACAGAAGTTTTAAGCATCATTGTTTTCCCTAATAAGACTCTTAACATAATTACTTTTCAAAGAGTCTGGACACTTTGAAAATATCATAAGCTTGTGTGGTTTCGAAGCTAGATCTTCGGCAACTTCAAACACTTGTTTAGGAGTGACACCCTCTAAATTGAGAGAGAGTAGTTCTTCTAGCACTTGTTCACTCTGCTGCACTAATTTTCTCTCTCTTTCATATGTACCTTTTTCACGTTCATTAGTGCTTGCCATTACATTAGCCATAGTGGAAAGATGAACATTCATATCTTTCATGAATGTTTGTAAGCTAGCCAACTCATTCGAACTACCAGCACCATCACTTTTTCTCCATTTTTTTTTGCAGATTTTTCAGTCTTGATTTTTTTTTAGGGAGGCGAATTAACAGTGCCAGAATCACGGGGTCCCTCATCATCACTTGAATCAAGTATAACCTGCGAAGGGGCAACTTTTTCCAAATGGTTAATTGCTTCAACATAACCTTCAGATGGTTTACCAGTAGCATAGTCTTTGCCATATATATTCTGCAGTTCTTGAAAGTGCGAAAAGGAAACTCCATATAAATTTTTGCAACTTGGATGACTCTGCCAAAGACAAAACAACTCACAATAATCAAATATAACATCATCAAGTATCTCAAACATTATTAAAATGACTTTAAATAAGATGTCATACCTTACAGTACTCGTCATAAACAACTCTTTCAACAGAAACCATTTTTCTTTCATCATCCCAAACAAATCCGCTTGTGTTTAACATTTGAGAAATATCCCTAAACTTGGCTACAAGTGTCTTCATTCGAGAATCTATGTGTGGTGAAGCCTTCAAACCACATCCAGGTAGAGCGTTACCGATAACCTCCTCCAATCGAACCATGTAACCACTTCTAAACCCATTGTCACACCTCCAGTGAGGGTCAACAGCTAGGTCTGATAATGCTTATACAAGAACCCTATCTTCTTCAGCAGTCCAAAACCGCTTGTTTCTCCCCCTTCCACCTCCACTAGCACTAGCACTACTTTCATCCATCCTTCTATAACATTTGATCCATAATAACATGCAAAGATAACATTTCATATATAAAAAATGAAATTGACCAAGAAAATAATCAATACAAAGTATCTAAAAGAAAGTAATATCGAGTACAAATACAACATCCATAACTTAATATTAAAAAATCAGTACATTGAAATAAACATACAAGTCTCAAGTTCAAATATAACAAACAAACTTTAACAAAAATAAAAAGTATCACAAAGTAAGTCTATGGTTTCTAGCCCTCCAATCATTGAACATAGTTTGGGCCATTGTATTTCGAAAATTAGTCCAGGGATTAGTTACATCAATGGAGATTTTTTACTCAATATCATCATCATCACTTTCATCACCATCATCACCATCACTGTCACTACTTTCCTCATACAAGTCATCATCATCAAATTCTGAAAGCATGTATCTTTTTACCAAGTTATGTAATAAGGCACATGCAAGCACAATGTGACCATATGTTTGTAAACTAAACCAAGAAGGACTTCTAAGAATTCCCCATCTTCCCTTGAGTAACCCAAAGCATCTCTCAATCACATTTCTAGCTTTTGCATGCCTTTAGTTGAAATATTCTTCGGCGGTTAATGGTTGTCTAGCCCCCCTATTCCACTCTTTAAGATGATAAAGGTGACCTCTATATGGTGCAAGAAATCCCTCTCTATTAGTATATCCTCCATCACATAAATAATAACAACCTTGACAAATAAAACAAAAAACAATTAAATTCTACTCTCTTTTTAAGTCAATCTAACATAAAGTACACTACGTTAATCAAATTACCTTTTGAAACTTTCAAACCATTAGGCCTAGAAATAACATCTCGAAGAATACGACCATCATGTGTCGATCCCTCCCAACCAGGTAAGACATATGTAAATTCCATTTCAGGTGAGCATACTCCTAACACATTCATAGCAAGAGTTCCTTTTCTAGTACGATATTTGGGTCGATCTTCACAAGGAACATTAACTAGAATCATTGTACCATCAAGAGAACCTAAGCAATTCTACAAAACAAACAATATCACTTTAAATTATCTAATAATTTCTAACTTTTTGTTTTGTTTATCAAATTAAAGTGTTGGTTTTATTTTATTATACCTTGAAATATTTCCACCTTTCATCGTCGCAATCCTCTTGTATTGGAGTTGGTTTCTTAAGAAGAACAACATGTAACTTCAAGATTGCTAACAAACGAGCATGAAATTTCCTACTAATAGTTTCACCACTTCTATAAAAATGTGCACCCATCATTTTATTTTTCTTATGGTGAGCTAATGTGTATAAGAACCCCGCAACAATCTCTTCCAAACACGTGTTTCTTGTTTCATATAATCCACCGATATTTCTAACCATCTCTAAAAGTACACCGAATGTGTATCAATTTATACGAAGATAGTTCCTACACAACGTGTCACTTTCTCTAATCATTCTATTCAAGTTGTGTAATCTCATTTTTCTTCTTGTGTGTTTATCTAACTTAAGATGTTGAGAATTGTATTTTTTTTTATCGAGTACACCAACAAATGTAACAACACAACACAATTAATCATAGTAATTATAAAACGATGGTGGTCCCAATTTCTCTTCCTTTTCAAAGAAGAACCAATACGAGCCATTTTCTGTACAAAAGAACATCAACAACACCATATCATTGAAAAGTTTACATATTTATACAAAAGACATATAAAAGTCTCAACTTAACAAATAATAGAACATGGGAAAGCCAGCAATGATTATAGATATAACCAACTTAAAGATATGCAAGTGCCTGATATACAATCATGTCTCTATAGTGACACGGGGAAGAGCTAAACCAAGGACAGGCATTATTTGCTACTCTATACTGTCACATGAAAATAATAAATCCCTAAACTAATATATCAGCAAATTCAAAAAGTTGTTACTCCTATGGATTCGTATTATTTGAATTTACATCATGCATAAGTTGCTAACCTTGAAAAATGAGATCACAAAACAGGCAGCAAAATCAGAGAGACTATTATTGATAGGTGAATAAGTGTTATGATGGTGATTCAGCTTGAAGCCAATATAACATGTCAGTAAGAAGAAAAAAAAAAGTAGTTGGAGGTCTGTGGTAGCTGGCTTGGTTTTGTTACTCCAGTCATTAGAGGACTGCAGTGTGTGTGTGCATAGCACTCAAGGGTAATGCACTAGCCCCTGCCCCTAGTAGAGTGTCAAGCCTCATAAGCCTAATGTAATCAGCCTAATGCTCAATGGCCCAGAAAGAAGGTTCCTGATGAGACTTCAAATGCTAAATCGTGAAGTCCATATAATTAAACATACAATTTAAACATACAATTTGAGGCTCAAAATTCAGTAGAGTAGAATTAGAAAAAAAATGGAATTAAAAAATTTCAACAAACAAATTCGTGAATTCAACAAACAAAAAAATCCCAAATAGAATGCGAATTAGTGAAGTCACAAATACGAATTCATGAACCCTTGAATACAAATTCAGTAGAGTAGAATTTAAGAAAAAAAAAAGAAGTAACAAATTCATGAACCCTAAGAATAACACTTCTATAAAAAAAATTCAACAAAAACATTCGAATTTAACAAAATAAATCCCAAAAAGCATACGAGTTCGTGAAGTATAAGTAAATGAAATACGAATTCATGATCTACAAGTAGAACAAATACAAATTCAATTAAAAAAATGCAAAATCAAGAACACAAAAGAGAGGAAGGAGATGCGTGGGACATCAGACATACCTAATCGGCATCGACGTTGGAGTGGCCGAAGAAACGGCGGTAGAGGCAGCGGCTATCTCAGGTTCAAGCTTCAACTTAGGATTTGACAGAGAAGGGAGATGCGTGGGTGTCTGGGAGATGAGAGGGAATGAGGAGGAAAGAGAATGGAAAAGGTAGGGGGGTAGGGAATGAGTTTAGAATATTTTTGGGTAAACTCAAAAATAAAAATGGAGAATGGGAATGACAAAAAATTCAAAACAAACACTCACTAACGTAATCATTCCCATTCCCTTTCCCCATTACAGCGAACTAAACGGCCCATCAATATTTTCACCAGCCGGCCGGGGACGTAGATCCTCTGATCGTTCCCCGATCAGTGATTGCTATTGCTTTTCTTTTTTTACGGCCACCAGGTGGTCCGCCTTTCTCTTTTTGCCGACTCCTCGCTTTGGCCGACTGCGGCAGCAGTCAGCTTGACGTCTGAGAGGTAGCACTCCCTAGCCGTCTTCTAATCCCCGTTCAGAAAACCCACTGACCAGTCATCCCTCTCAAACTTGATCAGCATGAGGGATGGGATGATGACCGCCTTGAACTCGTTACGACCCTGAATCAGATTGTAGGTGGTCAATTCTTCGACCACCAAAAACTTGACGACCAAGTGTCGTCCTTCCCCCTTCTCTCCTAGCCGGATGGGTAGGTCAATCCTCCTCACCGGATGCACCACTCCTCCCCCAAAGCCGACTAGGGGGTGAAAAGTCTTGTGCATGCTGTTAGGCTTATACTTGAGCTTTGCCAAGCACGGGTAGCTGATCAGGTCAGACGAGCTCCCGGTATCGATGAGGATCTGACCCACTCGTTGGTTGGCAACCTTGCATTCGATGACAATTGGGTCATCATGAGGCCTCAGAGATGAAGACCTCAGAGAAGGTGTCTTGCGACACCTGGCCCTCATCCACTAGGTTCGCCAGCTTCCGGATGTTGTCCTTGGTACCCCGGATGGTAGGACCACCGCCCGCGAAACCGCCTGCTATGGATAAGATATGCTCTTCATCAGTGTCAGAGCTCACAACCGGCTTCTTGGACGGTTGTCCATTGTTGGTTTTGGGGTTACCCTTGGACTTCACCAGATAGGACTTTAAGGCCCCCTCATCAGCAAGACGGTCAAATAGCCGCCTGAGGCTATAGCAACCATTGGTGTCATGGTCGACATCCTCATGGAACTGGCAGTACTTGCTCTTGTCCCGGTTCTTGATGGAACTCTTCATTGCTACCGGTTTTTTCAATTGTTAAGCGGTCTTTGATCTCCATGAGGATGGAGGAGCAATCCTTGTTGAACTCGTACTTGGGGACATACGGCTCCAACTTTCTCTATTTCTTCTAGGACAGCTGACAAGAGCGATCCGCCGCCCAGACTTCTTTTCTTTTCTTGTTTTCTTCTTTTTTGGCCGGCTGAGCAGGCCGGCTTTCTTTCCGGTCGGACCTCTCAGGTTTTGACGAGTGCTTGATGGCACAGAGCTCTGTCACCTGTATATAGGCTTCGGCTTCCATCAGTGCCTCTAAGAGGGTAGCAATCCTCTTGCGGACCAGGTCGAACTTAAAGGTCGACCCGTCCTTCAGACCCTTGAAGAAGTCTGTGTATGCAACTTCGTCAGACAGCCCCTAAATCTGAATTCTCATCAGATTGAACCGCGTGCCGTAGGATCGTAGTCCCTCCTTGTCTCCCTGCTGAATAACCTCTAGGTCGAGACTTGTCTTTTTGGCAGGGATGTTCATGGAGAAGTTGGACGCGAACAGGTATGCAAGCGTCTTAAAATTGTTGATTCACCCGGCTGGCAGATTGCCAAACCATCGTTGGGCTATGCCCTTCAATGTTGCCGGGAAGTATCGGCACCAAGCGGTGTCCTCCAACCCCTGTAGGTACATGAGGTTGGTGTAAGCCATTAGGTGGTCTTCCGGGTTGGTGGTACCGTCGTAGGTACCGACCAACACATTATTAACCTTGGCTGGCTGAGCCGCCTCGGTTATCTGCTTGGAGAACGCCGACGGCTGTTCCCCAAGGTTCAGCAGCCGGAGTTGCCAGTCCATATGATGGACCTGCTATGCCGCCGGCCTCCC